GGGGGGGACCGGTGGCTGGAGAGAGCTACACAGACTCGTTTTTTTTTTACAGACACACACGCGCATACATACACACACACACCGGCCGAGACAAAAGCGGATTCCAGAGTACGCATGTGAGGGGTGTTTTTAGACGCACGCGCTGCTTCCCCACACTGGTGGAAACCTAAAGGCTGTACATGGCGGTGGAGAGTTCAGTCTGGCTGCCCTGTCTGCTTCTTTCTCTGTTTTGGGGCTCATCAAAGCAAGGTAATGATCTCCCAGTTGTTTTGTCTTTTTTTTTCTTGTCTGTGGGGGTGAAAACGTGGGCCAAGTGACCACAGATTGCACTGATAGCTCCAAAAACAGGACAGATTAAAATAATATATAGGCTAATAATAAAAAAATGGCAATGTGGTAGGATAGTTGCACCTTGCGCTGAAGACTGCGCTGCGTCTTCACCTCACATGATCTGTTCAGTGTTCAGTGTTTTATGATGTTGGGGGTGCAGTCTTACTTGAGGGGGCTCCTTAATAAGGACGAAACACGGAGAGTGGTCCTGAATGTTGCCACAGGGGGGCGGTTATTTGAGCCAATAAAGTTTGCGATCATAACAAAATAATAAAAAAGTAGGAGCTCAGAGGGATGAAAAATAAAGAAAAAATAACTGTATTTTGTTGACCAAATGACCGCTTCATTTGAATTTAACCACTGCCCTAGAAAAGTTGCCGGAGAGGAGCAGTGGCACTGGGAGGGCAACTTTTAGCTGCCCTGGAGTCCAATAAACTTCATGCTTCAGAGTAGAGAGTCCCATTACCCCCAGAGAGTGAAGGGCCAGCTGAAGTGAACCTAAACCATGAAGTGATTTTCAGAAATATGCTAAATTAATGTGCATTTTTTCAGTGTATGAAAGCAGTGAGAGCAGTTTCACTGGATCAGTGATTTATCTGTAGGCCTACCCCCCAGACTCAGTTAATGAACATGTTTGTACACATATTTTGTTGCCCTCATTGTCAAGTTGGCATTTACTGTTTCATTGCATTTATATCGTTGCTCAACATGAATCATAATAACAGCGAGTAATAATGTTATTGTTTTTTATTTTACTATTTTCATTTTTTTGGGGAATAGAAATAAAAGTTGTCTTGTCAGTGGAGGGGTCTGAAGACTTGGATTTTGCACCTGGTGCAACCTTGTTGTACTGTGATTGTTCAATGATGAGAAGGAAAACAATTATCTACATGAGCAAATAAGTTTCGTACAGAAATCCCCCTTTTAGCTATTTATACTTTGACTTGGATTTGTCTTTATTCAGTCCAAAGGGAGTTGATTAGATGTGATCATTGTTGACTTCTACCTGTTAAAGCAAGGGTCAGTTGTTGATACAATTTATCTGAACTGAAATAACCATGACCTGTAGTTTCCAGATGGCTCAGATTATTAAAAAAAGATGCCCATTGCATGAGTGTGTACCACAATAGAGATAATCACATCCAAATAAGAAAATATTTCTCAAGATAAATAGAATTTATATGGAAATTGTCTGTGGTAAGGGTTTTGTCATGAAAATCGTTTTGTACAGGGATGTTTAGAACTAAAAGTTTTCAGTCTAACGTTTAGTGTGTGTCTGAGCAGATGCATGACGACAAAGACRTTTGTTATATGATGTTTCGATAATGCAACAATACCAATAAAACCACAGTTTCCTCATGCCTCCCTTTCTGCTCTGTCAGCACAACACTGAAAACTTTCTTCATTTTTTTGCATCTCATTCATTCATTCATTCATTCATTCATTCATTCATTCATTCATTCATTCATTCATTCATAAATTGTATTCATTTCATTGAAAAACAAAATTTTATACACATTGAAAATAAAAAAAATACAAAAACAACTAAATGAAGGGAAGCAGAGAGAAGAACAAAATCTTATATCTGCCCCCTTTTTCCTCAAGTATAAATACAAACAGCAATAATCCTCAGCTAACAAAACAAAACACAAACATTAAATCATTCAAGAACAACAAATTATGTTTAATATAATTTAATAAAATATATAATATAAAATAATAAAAGTTTTATCTCCACTCGGTGYGAACATAGATGACAGTGAGAGGTCAACAGATGGGCCAAATAAATTATTAAGCATGCAGACATGAATGTGTTGCAGTTGTAATCTATTGCAGCCCAATAGTTCCATTATTGCACACACTGATTTTGTGATTACATAATATTTTGATAYATCAAGCAGCCTTACTGTTTTGATATGATCTCAGTATCATGCTTACAACCAGAATGCTTATTTTCTGCTTTGAAATTCATTCAAATATTTGTTTATTCTTAAAATATATAAATATATAATTCCATCCAGGCCAACAAACTACACAGTCATGCATGTTCGTTTTATTGAGCTCCAAAAGTGGAGCATGCATGAATGTTGTGGGCGTGGGTGGTTGTGGGAATGGAGACTGGTGAGGTGTTGGGGCTGTGGGTGATGACAGACATGAATTGATGGGTGCTGGAGGGGCAGATATGAGGGCGAGGGCTATTTCTACAAGCACAAAGAACTTGTTTTATCCAGTCTAAAGATCAAATGAAAATATGTCAGCTTCACTTAACACAACACAAGCAAGTGAACGAAGCAAAAGGGCCTTTGGATACGTCCAGTCAAACTGCACAGCTGAGCTACAAAGGAATGTAATAAAATAATATGTACAGTCCTGAAGGACTTTATGAGCAAACAGATTGATTACTGTATAACCTATGAGCATTTTATATGCTTTTAAAATACAGTTCGTAAACATGACACGTTGGGAAGAGTAAATCAGACAACTTTTACTGAGAAGGTCAAGAGTTCATCATCTATTCAGGAGACTCAACATTGCCAGTAGACAGGTCTTAATAAGCAACTTTAAAGGTCACGGTCAACTTTTTTTTAATAACGAGCAAGTTTGTGAAGTGTTTCTGATGGGTCCAGCTTAAAAACCATGAAGTGAAATAGTTTAGAAAGCCCCACTGTAACAACAGCCCCCAGCAATTCCATCGAAGCAGCAGAGTGTGATGTAGCACTGYGCGAACAGCAGAGTACAGCCTGAGTAAGGGTGTATATAATGTATGTAAGCTGYAAAACACTATTATATTCTTACATTGTTTAACCTTATGATTGGTTCAGGGAGTGAGGAGGCATGTTTTTTAATTCCACATACTGAACTGCATATCCTACTGCACAGGAAGATATTTTAAAACATGCAAAATTTCTGGAAAACAAATATATGCTTTTTCAATTAACAACACCCTCAATGAAAAAAAAAATGGAAAAGACACTGAACTGCATTTCTTTCTGCAATGTTTTTTCACCCTTTTAAATTTTTTTTACTTTTTTTTATTTGCAGAAACATTACAAATCTCTATGACTGACTTGCATCACAGTTTAAGATGAGTATGGAAACAAATTAGCAGTTTAGATAAAGTATATTTAGGTTATTCGTAATTATTGGATTCTGAAAAAATGCAAATCTTTCAGCTTAAAATCTTGTGTATTTGCATTAGTGCAACAACTCAAAATCTTATCAAAGTTTGCAGCAAAAGCTGGGCACAAGGAGTCTCCGTATTTACTATTGCAAAAAGACTAAATGGCTTGATCGCTGCARCATGAATAATAATTTGTTTTAACCTTGTGTTTCTTTCCAAAAAGACCCATTTAAACTCCTGAATTCTCAGACCATTATATTTCATGTTTTGCTTTTTTGTTTTATTTTTTCCCCACCTTGATTTTATCACCTATTATCATACCTGCTCTTTGTTCAGTATATTAACCCCTGATTTTTAGTTCTTGTATGGTGGGTTTTTTAACTCATGGCTTGTCAATTCATGTATTCAGTGTAGTAC